TACAAGTTTATTGAGTGAAAAATCTGAAACATGACATTGGTGTCAAATGTGTATCCGTTTTCTGGCATGCTTGATACTCGAATCATACATTATTTTTCTTGAAAAAGTAATTTGGGAATTAGATGGTTTGTGATTGTTACTGTCATCATGTCAATAATTTATTGTCTACTCTGATAAATTAGACAATCTGATTTTAATTTAATCTTTTAAAAGTGAAATTTATCTGTTAATGTTGCTCTTTCTGTAGGACCTTATTTGTAGATTCTGTGTTTGTGAGTTAATGTATTTTTAATGTCATTGTATTTCTCTAGTTACAATATTTGCCTGTGTTTGAGTGTTTAGTTGTAACAACAAAACTTTTAGAAAGATTCATTCTTTCAGGTCACTCACAATAATTTGTTTTAATGATACGTTTTTCTGTCTAGCTCATTGTGTTGCCCTTTGGTCTTAGTGTTTACATTTTTGAAAGTATACATATAAAAATAATATAGTTATATTCCTTGGCTCCTGCAGCAGGATGTGAAGGTGATTGACCTAGGTTTTATTGTGCTCATTTTTCTTGGCTGAAAATTTGTTGTAAGTGATATATTTACAGGTTTACATGATGCATGTTTCTGTAACATTTTTGCCTTTTCTTTACCTTTTTATTTAATCAGAAATTTAGTGGTTAAAAAAACAACTGTCGAACAGTGCCCCCTCTTTATGCCGCCCCCCCGCCCCCCACACACACACACAGATAGACACACACACACACATACACACACATTTATGTGAGTACAGGCGTGTATATCCATGTGTTTGTGTATCTCTATATAGTGTGTGGGAGTCTGTTTGTGTTAACCCCCCCCCCCCACACACAGATAGACACACACACATACACACACATACACACACATTTATGTGAGTACAGGCGTGTATACCCATGTGTTTGTGTATCTCTATATAGTTTGTGGGAGTCTGTTTGTGTGTGAAGGTGTGTGTGTGTGTGTTTGTCTGTGTGTATGTTTGTGTGTGTTTGTGTGTGTGTATGTGTGTGTGTATGTGCATGCATGCGTGTGTACGTATGTGCATGTATGTGTGTGTGTGTGTGTGTGTGTGTGTGTGTGTGTGTGTGTGTGTGTGTGTACGCACACGCAAGAGTGTTTTCTATGTGGAAATCGAATTTTAGGTTTGTGCTTTGTTGGCTGTGTGTTTTTGACAACGCATACCACGGTAATGAAGCCTTGTGACAGCGTTATATAATAAACTATGTAGTGACTACACATCAACATAATGAACACGATTTCCTTAATAGTAATATTTTTTTCTTCACTTGCATGTGATGTCTGATTTTGTATAAAGCAGGTGGGTGGCTCGCAGGTGCTCGTGTCTGGTTTGCTCCTTCTTTCCTATCAAACATCTATCGTCCTGATCTCTCCTCCTTAATTTTTTGTGTTTGTTACTCTCTTGTAATACCTCTAATCTTCGGCCCTTATATGATCTTACTTACTTTAATACTTGAATGTAGAACTGGGGTCTTAGGAAGAAAGGGTGCTCCATGCTTCCTCGCCCCTCTTTATGAGGGTCCATTTCAGCGTGGGCAGGCTGATTGTTTCTATCATCCTTATTGTGTTGCAAGTGCCGTAAAACTTTTACTACCCCCCGGGGCAGTGCCGCTGACTGAAGTGTCTTTAGGCCATTCCCAAAGGGGGGGGGGGGGAGCATTTCTCGTTCAAGCACAGTAGAATTGTAAATAGGCTGATTCATTATGTCAATCTCATAACTGTGCCTGATCTGCAACAGGGAACTGCTGCGTTTTCCTTCCTAATCCTTACTATTGTATTTTCCTCTACTTCTTTTGTGTGACCCTCTATTTCCGGGGTGCCTTGATAGTCGAAGCAGACCTTGTGCTGTTGAAGCTAGACAGGTGAGCAGAGTAAGTCTGATTCCCTGTAAGGACTTCTCTGTTGACACCCACCCATTGGCGCTCATATGACCTTATGCAGTTGCGAGCACCTTTGTAAAACCCTCTACTAAAACTAAAAACCTTTCATCCCCCTCACCC